TACAAGTACAGGCTGGGTGGAGAGTGGATAGAGAGCAGCCCTGAGGAGAAGGACTTGGAGGTACTGGTGGGTGAAAAGCTGAACATGAGCTGGCAGAGTGCACTGGCAGCCCAGAAAGCCAATTGTATCCTGGGCTGCATCCAGAGCAGTGTGGCCAGCAAGTTGAGGAAGAGGATTCTCCCCCTCTACTCTGCTCTTGTGAGACCCCACCTGGAGTATTGTGTGTAGTTGTGGAGCCCTCAACATAAGGAGGATATAGATCGGTTGGAGCAAGTCCAGAGGAGGCCACGAAGATGATCAGAGGGCTGGAGCACCTTCACCTGTGAAGAAAGGCTGAGACAGTTGGGCTTGTTAAGCCTGGAGAAGAGAAGGCTCCAGACAGACCTTATAGCACCTTCCAGTACCTGAAGGAGCCTACAAGGAAGCCAGAAGGTGACTTTTTACAAGGGCCTGTAGTGACCGAACAAGGGGTAAACTGAAAGCGGGGAGATTTAGATTAGATATCATGAAAAAATTCTTCACGGAGAGGGTGGTGAGGCACTGGGACAGGTTGCCAAGAGAAGCTAGATGAGGCTTTGAGCAACCTGGTCTAGTGAAAAGTGTCCCTGCCCATAGCAGAGGGGTGGAACTAGATGATTTTTAAGGTCCCTTCCAGCCCAAACTGTTCTATGGTTCTATGATCTTTTTATAAAACTGACCATTTCTTAAAGCTGCAGTAAAACAAGATAGGAAGCAAAGCAATTATCAGAGTATTAAGAAGAAACCCTCACAGATGAGCCTGAACACATATGAATGAAAAGCCTGACAACTGCGGAATGGGGAACAATTGGTGATGTCATGATGTCACTGACACCAGACAACGGAATGGAGAGGCAAAAGCAGCTTTGGAAAAAAACGAAAGACATTCTAGAAGAATCTTACATTTAAAAGCAATATCTAGGGACAAACTAATTAAATATTAACAATCAGGACTGAAAATTGTCATATCATCAATTGAATTAAATTCCAGATCCTCCTACACACCTTTTAAATGTAGTAGTTTGATAGGGTGGCCCAATTCAGCATGTTCAATATTTAATTTAAAACTTTCAATCTGATGCAGCGATGAGTCATTTCCAAAAGGAACCAACTATTATAATAATTCAATGGATACCAAGCATTCAAAATGCAGCAGTGTCAGAAAGCTGTAGATAAATTTTACAGCCAATATTAATTCATCATGAGAATAATTTTTATGTAATTTACTGCAGAAGTGAGGGATCTCAGATTGCTACATAAAAAGATTTTTCCCAATCCACTCCTTTCTGTTACGTAAAAAGCAGTGAAATTTTACTGTTGTTAGTTCAGAGCAGCACTAAAGACTTCTAGCCATAATTCTGATGCAGAAAGTGAGACAAGTCTGTTTACTTTATTCTCCTTAATTTTCCCTCTTACGTTGATCCTCATTCCTACATCTGCCAAAAAATAAAATCCCTCCATTCCTCCTTCCTCTCCGTCAACCTCCTCATCCTTCCCAAACATACACCTGTATCCATCCCAGTTTCACCACTTTCCCCATTTAATTTCTCTTTTTATGATCAGAACAAGTATAGTGATAACTGAAAAAGCCAAACAATCAGAACAACTCCATTCTATTGCTGCATCTCTAAAGAATGGTAAAGGTTAAGACCTGCATAACTTTCAGCAATCAAAATCTGACACTGACTCTGGAGATGAAGCTCCTTTTCACTTGCAGCTCTGTCCTGCTTTTGCTTTTTCTACCATGCTTTCAGTTAAACCACACAGCATATTCTACGCTCTACTGAGGGACCAGAAGAATAGAAAACACCATTGTTGCAACAAATGTCCTATGATATGCAGCCATTCGGTTAAGCTTCTTCAAATCACTCAACGGTACCTTATGCCAAAACAACATAAACATTTGGATCCAACTGTAACACATTAGAAAATCCTAGTGTTGGGCATCAATGAGTCCTAGGAGATCCCAACACACTAGCTTAATAGTCAATCAGAACAAGCACGGTATAAATAGCTATGTTGAAAGAAGGGAGTGCAGTAAATCGCCACAAATGCTTTCATTACCCATCCTTCAGAAACACTCCACACGCCTCTTAACCAAGTCCGTAAACTGCAATGGATTGTTTCTTACCAACAGAGGCTGTGAGTAGAGTTCAAGCTGTGCTCTGTAAATTATGTCCTCCAATACCTCCTGTCCAAGATCCCACTGGCCATTATATCTAAAAAGTAAAGGAAGATATTTATCTTTCATATCTTACAAACTCATCTTTTTTCTGCCCAAATCCAGCTCTTCACTTTATGTAGAAAGTTCATCAACTGTATGTACATTCCAGCCTCTTCACTACTTTTAAAAGTATAGACAATGCATTTTACTATTAATCTTGTTGCTATAATAAAAAGCTGCTCCTTGTCACCTCCAAGGGGTCAAGATGTAAGGGTTAATACAACTTAGCAAAACTCAATTTCTATCAGAAATGGATTTTTGCCACCTCCAAAATTATGGACATTCAAGAGGTCTGCATTTCATGGGGTTATCTTGGTATCCAAGCTCATTATCTTGGCGAACAGAAGGTATCAGGTGTTAGTGGAAACCTGCGAAAAGATGAAGCCTGAGGCCTAACTCTCTCCAGCACTTACTGCTGGGCCCTTCGTCACCTAATTCAGTGCTGACAAAGATATTTTCAAATTATTATGGCTGAGTGAGCAAGTAATGGGAAATAACCTGAGTCAAACTTTTGTTATGAGTTTAACTATTTTTTTAATAATAATAAACCAGTTAGCATTTATATTTTAATTCATGTAAACCCAGACAGCTCTCTTTACAAAAAAAGCAATACCATCCACTTACATGGCATAATAGACACCTGTAAGCAGCTGCACCATGAAGTCAGGATCTAACACCACTCTACCACAGTGTTCTTTCCAGCGTTTCTCATTCTGCCGTGGAAATCCACTCACACACAGCCTGAAAAAAACACTCCACTGTAACAAAATGTCAACGCCACAAAGACCACAAATGGCTTTACATCAGAGATTTTCCTTTATTTTAAAAACTTATTTTTTCAAAATATAAGTACACAACATAGAACACTTATGTTGCTGTCCCAATCATTAAAGCAGTTTTATCATAGTGCCTTGAGATGTGGCTTGCTACTAATCCAGTGTTATTCCCATACAGCCATTAGCTCCATCTGTTTCCTTCAAATAGATACTAGTAAGGTGTTCTCTAATGCTGCCACCAAGTAGGAGAACCCTCCCCAGAATTCAGTAACCAAAACCAACTTTCCTTAAAGGAAACATTTCAGTGGTCAGAAAGAGTAATAAGTCATCTCCCATCTAATGTGTGATGGCAGCATACAATCACCTTTTACCTAAAGCTGGCTAACACAAATACTGTATTCTTGAAAATTGCTCTCAGCTGCCTTCTAAAAAAAAAAATAAAATACTTCTTACCCTTGAAAAAGGGCCTGCTTTCCTACATGCTGCATAGGATTGAGTCTCCATATAAAACCAGAATAATTTATTTATAACTTTAATATCTGAATCTCCATCATAGCCACTATTATATCATAACTTCTGCATTGTTTCAAAAACAAAACATCCCTAACCTATAAAATATTGCTTCTGTTCTCTACCCAAAGAATGGATCTAATTTTCAAGTGCAGGAAAGTTCAACACATTTGGCGTAGTTAGTATAGTCACAACTCAAGTGAAGATGATGGAAGCATTCCAAGAATTAACCCACTCCCAACAGAAAACAGGCTATAATCTTAACTACGTATGTGCATTATTACAGAGCATAAGTTGCTGGAAGCTAGTTTGACCCTTCTTTACTACATAACTGAATTGCATGTAATGCTTTTCTTTCATGGCAGTATTGTGCTGAAGCCAGAAAGCTGAATCAAAAAACATTTAAAGATGTTCCTCTATTCGGGGGTAGCAGGAGAGAGAATTTATCTCAGTCAAAAATGCTGGTAAAAACAGGCATATGGGAATATCAGATATACTTGACATTTTTCATAACAAAAAGTAGGGATCTTTGCCAACCAGATGCTTCTAAGACTATTCAAGTAGACGGTTAGATAAAGGGCATGTGTAAGAGTTTTAGAAATCACAGTAGTGAATTCTCCAGAAAGTGGAATCTTAGTATCAAGGGAAAAAGAAAGGAAGAGGGGAAAAATAAAAAAAAGACAAACCATTAAAGCCCAGAACATTGGGTAAGCACTTCATATAAACCATCCTCATAACCAACACATTAATATGGAAGTAGAGACAACTGCTGATATTCTTCACAGGATTTAAGCTGACTATGCTGAAAAATATCTGACAGATATGTAAATCCAAAAAAATGTAAATGAGTCTGAGCAGCTTCAACTAATTTTCCACAAAAATTGTCTTTTTTTTCTTTTTCCAAATAACAGGACGTTACATAACTGGAACAGAAACACATGCAGTAGTAAGACATTCCATGTGTTTTATCTGTATGCAAACATAGCTTCAAATCTCCATTTCAGTTGCAGGACCGAACAAGAGTTACATATTTTAAGTTATTAAACACAACAAGTAAATCCATTCTTTTTTTTGCTGGATACATATTCAGGTGTCCTAGCTGCACCCTGCAAGACTATTTCAAAGGCAAGTGTCTCACCTGGAACCCATCCTACAAAGTGATTGGTAAGAAGAGGCAGGCATATAAACAATAGCAGAATTGTAGCACAGCATAAGAAAGCTCAGCACCTCAAACCTGCAAAAAGATAAGAGCAAAATCTTGCATGGTTTTAGTTTTTAATATTTCATCAGAACTTAACACAAGCATTCTACAACTCCATCTCAAAAAGTACACCACAGGGAAAAGTGTCAGAAGTGAACACATGAACCCCAAAAATATTCCTCCACTCTAATTCACAAACTTGAAACAGGCTATTAAAGGTTCAGTATAAACACTGAAAATTATTATTACTGAAAACCATTAGTATATGCAGGAACTATGGAAGAAATGGCATATGGCATAATAAAAGTTATAGAACTGCACAAGTCTGCAACACATTGAAAATTATCAGTTTCCCCAGAGCTGGCTTTAGACACAGGTAAAGCTGGTAGGCACTGTAACAGCAGGGCAATTTCTCTCATCCTTAGTTCTGTCTAGGCACTCAGCTCCATTCCTCTTTTCCTACGGACAAAGCAGTCATAGCCTCAGACCCAAAGCTGAATTCTGTGATACTTCCAGGAAAATTTGAGTTGACAGACATAAACCCAAAGATATTTCTGACAGACACAGAAATGACAGAGAAGTTACTGTCTTCTAAATTAACTAGTAGAACATACAAAGTTGGATCAAACAACAAAAATACTACACCTCAAGATTACAAAGACTGTTCTCCAGATTTATTTCCAAGCACAATGTTGAGAAAGAACTGAACACATAATGTATTTGGTCTTAATGTTTAAAGATTTATTCGAGGTGCTTCACTAGACAGACAACATTACAATACATCTACCTACCGGTTCTGTGCTGTGAAGGTTTCTCTTTGAGGATGAAGATCACTGTACACTACCCTGATGAGATCATGCTGACATAGAGCTCCTTCCGTTAAAGCCATGGATCCAATAGTAGAGGGCTAGAAGTAGGTGGTGGGAGGAGGAAGGAAGGAGGAGGGAGAAATCATGCCATAAGTAAAAGGTCCCCAAAGGCATTAACACTCCTAACCACCCAAGCCAAATATATACTTGTCTTGTGATCTGTAAAAATGAAGATTATTCCAGAATACAGTAAATCGAAAAACATTATCCAATTTCATTATTATAAACAGCTTCCACATTGACAAGCAACAGAGCAGGTGAGAGCAATTTTCAACTTTGATTCTTACATATCCATTTATAGTAGGTTTGTCCTAATTGCACAGACTTTTTCTAAAGGAACAGTGAAGAGAAAAACACAATTCCAAGTTCAAACTGTATTAGAAGAAGGACTTTTATACTAACATGTAAGATGCAAAAACCCACAGTTGCAACTACAACACAACTAGCCTTCATTCAAAATAGGCATAGTCAGTAGATATCTTCAAGACTGACATCCCTTTTCTTCTACTAATGCTACTGAATTCCATTAAACTAATTGCAAGCTACTGACACTGAAAACTTACTGCCACAAGATGCATCTAAAATGGCCTGTAGCATGAAATGGCTCCAGTTATCATTCCTCTAATAGATCCAATTCTAATTTAGCACAGAAGCTCTCTTACCTCATGATATATTGAGGGTTTAGATAATGAAGGGATGGTAAATGATAAAACTTTGTTGTTTCCATCTTTGTCAGCAATTTCCTGCATTAAAAACCAAAACAGCAGTAAGGTGATAGGACTTGGAATCATCTTCACCTCTTACTAGGCATTTAAGAAATAAGTTAGATATCCTGATCTGATAAGACTCAAACACCCTAAGGTCTCTGTGCATTTGCAGAATTACCAGCAAATTTACATACCTATTTAAAAAGTGGGAAAGACCTCTATCACAGACTGTTTTGCAGAATCAGTCAATTGCAACATTTAAACAGCATTGGCTCCTTGATCAGTGTGACTTCATTAAAAAAAAAAAAAAAAAAAACCCACCCCAAACCCCAAAACCAAAAAGAACAGAAAGCTCTTCTAGCCCACCTTTACATTTTAACATTCATCACAGAGGGCTGATGAGTCACTTGCTGACAATGGGCAGTACTTCATAATAAATGCAGCACAAAGAAAAGGTGAAATCAAGGGGACTGGCATGGTTTCTCCAGGCATTCAATCAGTAAGAGATACACAGAATGTTTTCTCAAAAGTTTTTCCACATTGGTCAGATTTTATAGTTGCTAGGCTACCTACATAAGCAAATCCAGCAGTTTTTAAAGCAAATACACTAAAAGCAATTACATAAGACGATACCAAAAGGGAGTCCAAAATCCTGCCTCTAAAACCTCAGATCAAAGCTTTCCTCGGCCATTCCCACTCATCTCACTTACCAAGTTGTAAATGCCAAGCAGCAATGCTTCAATGCAGCCATTACTCTGCCTATCCCTGCTGGCAGTAAGACGCAGATATACCCAGATCAACTCTGGCAAAAACTGCAGTGTGAATCTCTTAAGCCGAACTTCAGAACTACGATAAAGTTCAAAGAGCTGGTGGCAAACAGGCTCCAGGAGCTGTGGAAAGGCAAAAAGGCTAATAAATTACTGCTCGGCTTCTCTAGTAGGGGAGAATGACATAGCAAATACAGGGGCTATATCATATAGCCACTGCAGCCAATACACATGACATTCTTTGATGGCAAGCAAGCGAATAAACCGAAATTATATCTGCATCTTTTTAAGGAGATCTGTAAGGACAGAGCTGAGGGGCACTGGTAAGCATACTGGGAAATGTAGCCTTACTCCATCACTGCCACCTTGTGCTTTGAGAACATTATTCTCTAGGACTGCCAGTCTGAGATTTATTTTGTATACAGGTACTAATTTAAGGCATGTGACAGACATGTGTCTTGAACTATGGGCACCATAAAACTTTAATGGTGCAGTTTTAAGTTTATAAAAGTACAAAGGTTAAAGATTAGCTGTTAATAACAAGTCTATTAACAGAAATATGAATTAATTTTCTTACCTACAGCGCTTTAGTCTCAAACCTAAGTGTGCATTTGTTCATTACAATGCAAACTTGATTTTTCTGTCTTGAGGGGCCTTTCAGGTTTTGATACAAAAATCAGAAAAGGCCCTTACCAAGTCAATGTGATATAAGCACAAGAAAAACCCTGTGATTTTAAGAGTCTACAATGCCAAACCAACAGTTAAGATAATTAACAGTTCTGTGGATGCAACAGAGGGGAAAAAAAGAAAAAAACCCCACATGTCAAACTGTCTCACGCTTTCCCATGACTAATTAAGTTTTTAATATCAAAGTAAAAAATTAAAAAACCCAAAAATATTCCAAGAGGAATTTTGATAAGGTCTGTGACCAGTATCTAGTATTACATACTAAGAAATGGGATGATTTGACCTAGGGAAAACAAGTGATTCAACATCCAAAAAAAAAAAAAGATGGAGCCATTCATGTAACCTAAAGTTTCTATATTCATACAGAAGAGTTAGAGTCAGAAAATAGAGGCCAGAATCTCAAATAAGTCTTCTTTTTAACTGTACATGCTTTATGCAGCTCTCATATATATACAATATTGTTAAACAAAATTATACATATAAGCTTTTGGAGCAATAAACCTCCTACATTTGACCAACACAACAGCAGGTGTACTGGTAAGACAAAATTATTATTTTCTTTAGTGTATTTATCCCATTATTTCACACATATATAGCACTATACATTCAAAAGATGCCTAAGTATATTCTTTCTTAATTAATATTTACTTAGTAGAAACTCCTATCTAAAAGTGACACTAATTATTAAAACCATCAGTTACAGTAAGTGTTCAAACCCTTAGAGACAGAACCCTATCCTTGTTTTATGAAAGGCCTAACATGTTTCAGATGTTCAAATAAAAAAGTGGTTAATAAATAATTCAGAGATCACTGCAAAAATTCCTAGGTTTTCTTTATGAGCAAGAAGCTAGCATAAAGAAGAAGAAGAAATGTCTGGAAACAAACGCAAGCATAACTGCAAGGAGATAATGCTTGCAAGAAAAGCTAAACAAATATTATATTAAAT